TTCAATAAATTTGAGGCCTGCTTTTGAAGGCCCCATTTAAGGGCGTGCTTTTAGGAAGCGTTTAGTAGCCCCTACGTTGCTGTCAAGGGCTTAGTTAAGTCCCAAAAATAAATTGTCATGACAAAATTTCTTTTTAGGTATTTTAGCTAGAATTAAAACAAAATTTAAACCCAGTAAAGTACTATCAAAAAATTTAAAAGATAAATTAAATATTCAAAAATTTATTATTTACTAATCTAGTAGGACTTATATTCTGACTTAAAGGGTAATATATATATATATATATATATATATAAAGAATTGGGTTAGGACCAAACCTCCTATTCTATATGTTTATCTTTAAATGCTTTGGAATGAATCTCATTACAATAGAGTTCAGTGCAAACACGGAGTATTTACATGCTTAAGTTTTATACCTTTTATTACATAAGAGGCAATGGCAAAGAAAGAAAAAGGGCAAGTTATAGAGTTTTCACGTAAAATAAGAACTTTTATAATATTATTTACTAGTAACCCTTTAATTTAACTAGGAGGGGATGAACCAAATTTTCATATTTGGTTTGTGCCAAATACTCAAGTTAGTAAGATAATAAGTCTAGATATCTCCTTTTTCGAGGACATTTTTTAACTTTAATTTGTAACTGTTAACAAATAAAAGTCTTGATCTTTAAGATGATAAGATGCCCAAAGAGACTACTTTTACGATTATCTTTTACATTGTCTACTAAAACCTTGAAGTCAAACTCAAGAGTGATCTTCTTGTAACTGAGCTCCCAATACATCTTAAGGCCTTGGCATGCTCCAGCTTCTACAAGGATAATAGAGATATCTCCCAAGTTTTTGATAAAACCATTGATCCAAGAACCCGCATAGTCTATAAGGAGACCTCAACAACTCGCTTTTCCTAGTGTTAAGGTTAAATATGTCGCTAGTTTTTAACTTAACACATTCTTTAAGAATAGGAATTCATCTCGCTTGTGCTCTGTAACAGATGCACTAGGATTGATCCTTTCAGTCTTAATTAAATCACATGCCATGATCCACCACTGTATTGCCTTTTCGGATTCCTTCTATTTGAAGTCCTTCAAGACGATGCTATTGTTTCTTAAATGCCAAAGGTTTCAACTTGTAATACACATTTTCTTGACCAATTTTTCTCCCAAAATAGAAGCGAGCACACCTTTCAAATTGGTTTTCATCCAATCTTGGCAATCCAAAATGAAGAATCTTAAATTGAAATAAGCTCGGGCATGCCAACACAAGCATCAGCTTATGGTGAGGCTGCCAGTTAGCTAAAAACCAAAGAGAAGGCCAATGGCCCATTTTGTTATATGCCTCAGCCCAGTACAAACTGAACTCCATAATGTGTCACAGCCGCCCCATTGTCTCTAGACCGAAGAACCCAGCTATTAGGGCTGTCAATTCGGAGCAGCGTGGCTCATTCGGACTGGCCCATGCCTGGCCCTGTATGGGCTATGGGCCGGCCCCGCGCCCGCCTGGCTCGTTAGTCTAAAAAAAATTTTAAATTTTAAAAAATTATAATAATATAAAATTTTATAATTTAATTAGTTGAATAATTTAAAAATAAAATAAATAAAATGATAGGATATTTGTTATTACTAATATTTTGTAAATTGTAATTATAATTTTGACAATATAAAATCTCACAAGTTTTATAATTTTTATTTTATTTTTTATAGTATTTAGTAGAAAATTATATAAAGATACAAATAAAGTAGATTGAAATTTAGTTTAAATGATTAGAATTTATATAAATGCAATTGGAGTCAAATTTTTATTTCTTATTTTAATTATGATTCACATAATATAATATAAATATGATAAATAAAAATTTATTTTTATTAAATTTTAATTTTTATTAAAGATAAAATAATATATTATTAAAAATAATATTAAAAATATGTTATTAACACAATTTATTAAATGTAAATGTATCAAAAAATTTGAAAAAGAGAATGACATTAAATTTATTCGAGCCAACAAGCTGGCTCAGCCTATCATGAGCTGCCCCGTTTTGGTTCATTCTATTTTTGAGCCGAGCCGAACTAAACTAAAAATAATCGGGCTTATATTTCACTAATATAGTCTTGCCCATTCATTGGGCGATTCGGGCTAGCACGTGGGTCTTGGCCCATTTTGATACCCTACTAATTGTTATTTTTTAGCCACTTTCTCACCAAGAAGTTTGGGCAATTCCAAAAAATAAATATAAAACTAGGATTGTGGAAAGTTTTCAATTCACAAATTATATATTTTTATTTAAACCATTAAAAAGGGAAAAATCAATACACACACGTATGTATGTATGTGTGTATGTATATAATGTATGTATAGTGGGAAGGTACTGCTGCTAGCACAATAGTTCATTTTTAACTTTAAATTTTCAATTATTTTTGTATTCTTCTCATTTAGTTTTTTGTTAATTTAAAGGGTTTATTTCTTATCTTTAGAAAGAAAAAAATAATTCCTAATCTGGAGGAACTTATATTTGTTCTCTTGCACTATAGACCATTGCAATAAAATGTGCCATGTGTTGGAACGTAATCACGACCACAAAAATGGTTCAAATAATTGAGTAATTAGATCTACTTGTCAAATCCATACCATTATTAAAATTTTTTATATTATTTTTTAAATTTTATCTAAACATATATTAAAATAGTAATATTAAATTTTGTTAAAAATATTCGTACCTTTCACAATGGCCTTAAAAAATTTTATTTTAGTTAAAAAATATAAGTTGAGCTAAAATATTATAGTAGCGATTTTAGGCGCTCCTCACAGTGGCGTGTCTAATTTAGATTTTATTACCAATAAGTGGGTCCAGCCAATGATTAATTAAGTGATTAAATGTCAAATCAATAACTAAACTAATAAGAACATCAATCATTTTACAGTTTATCGATTTAATTATTCACTAAATTAGTTGATAATAAAAAATAAATAAAATTAATAAATATACTATTTAATTATATAATATTAATATTTTTTATTTCACAACAAATATGATAAATTTTAAAATATAAATTTTAAATAAAATTAAAAAATATATTATTTTAAATTGATTTTAATAAATTTATAAAAATTGATTCATTTCATTAATTTTAAAAGAATTTTGATTAATTAAATTACAATTTTAGTTAAAAATTTCACCTAAATCTTTTGTTAAGTCAGATTGTAATCAAATCTGTGCAGATTTTAGAATATTGCCTTTATCTCTTTTAATTTTTTACATAATAGAAAATTAATAAAATATTGACAAAATACAAGGTAATTTTAGGAAAAAATTAATTTTTATTTTAAAATTAAATTCTACAAGAATTCTATATATATATATATATATATATAGAGAGAGAGAGAGAGAGAGAGAGGTCTCACAACCATAAAGAGTTCCGAAACTAGGGGTTTGTTCGTTTAGGATACTGACCGGGATGGGGGTGGTTGGGTGCATAGAAAATTTCTTAACTCTTATTTAATTTTTTTCTATTTTGAATTAACAAATGCTAGAAAACGACCTTACTTGTCTATATCGTCAAGCAATCCTTCAACCAACATGACGTGTCATATAGAAAACTATTTTTCCTAGAAAGTTCTAAGTCGAACAAGCACCTTATATTATGAAAATGATATTATGTATATATACATATATATATTACAAAAAATAATTATTTTCAAAGTACATTTACTAATTAACCTAATTAAAATAAGAAGATATTAGTTAAGGCTGAGAAGTTTTGTTACCTGCAAACTTTTTAATTTCTTCTTACCTACTTGAAAAAAAAAATTTGTACTTTTAAGTTGACTTTTCTCTAAGTCATGAGAATGGGTTATTGATATTTTCGCAGTTGAGTACTCAGAAGTCTATTTTCTCACCTTTTAAACTTAAGGCACAATTCATAAAAGAAAAAATTTTGATAATTAGTGTGTGTGTATACATATAAAAATGGTTTCGGAAAATCAAATATATGGAAATATAACAAAAATAAGAAACGCGTTACACTAGATATTGAGAAGAAGAGAAAGAAGAAAGAAAAAGAAACCGGTGCTAAGAGTTTCGCATTTTGTAAAACCTCCAAAATAAGCTGATCCAATGGCTTTTGACTTTTACCGGTGGCCGGCGACCAACATTTTGAAATACCAAAATTGTGCAACTACAAGCCATCAGGAAACATTAAATAAACTGTGTTTTGACGAAGACCTAACATTTTCTTTTCGTTTTCCTTTTGTTTCATTCTCTTCCCCCTCCTTCTCCTAACCCTCTTGTCCTTGTTTGGTTCTTCAAAGCTTCCTTATTTGAACTCTATATCCGGGTCCTGATCGCATTCCAGATTCCGCAAACGCGGCCTTTTGTTGACTCCACGGTTTCTCTAAATTTGCTTCCTCCCTCTAACCCCTCCCCACAATCTCTTTCTCTCTCTACATTTATCCTCCTCACCTAATACCCATCTTCTCCAATAACCTCCCCACGCTTAATTAACTCGGCAGCGGCGGGGCAGCGGCGGCACAGCGGTGGCACAGCGGTAGCGCAGGCATGCAAGGTGTCTTGTTATTAAAGAAACTCACGTGATCTTGGCGACTGTACGTATGTTTGGACTTATACTTCGTGTTATTTGTTTTGTTTTTCAATCCTCATTTCTGGATTTTTAAGAATAAAAACATTGCAAATTCTAAAAATTTTATTTAATTCATCATTGTTTCCAATTTTTTAATGGAGATTTTCTTTTGAGAAGTCCAAAACAAGATATGTTTGTTTTCAAAAAGGATTTACTAGACAACTAATTTCAAATATATATATATATATATATATACACGTGCGTGTATATATATGTACTTGAGCAGTATGCTTCATTTTGGATGGTTTTGCTTCGTGGGTGGGTGTGAATATGAGTCAGTCAGGTGAGGTTTTTGCTTTCGACTTGCAGGGAAGGATAGAGAGAGAAAGAGGAGCGAGAACGATCATTGAACTCCTAAGGGACAGAATGAACGGTGCAGATCGATTGGAAAGGCGGAAGAGTCTGAAGGAACGGCTGGGATTGACCGGCATATGTTTCGGGGCCTCATGGGGGCCAGTCTCAATACACGTCAGAGACGACGAAGACCCGGAAATTCCGCCGCCGCCTTCCCGTGTCGAGGCGGGCGACCTGGGCCAGGTTCCTGTGGCATCAGGAGTGAACCTCGCCGCAGCGCTGGCGTCAGAGAGGAACTACCTTCCGGCGACTGATGCTTCCGTCGCCGGAGATATCACGGTGGGGTCCATGAACGACCGGAGAGGGGATGTAGTTGCTGGAACGGCGCCGCAGACGCCGTCTAGGGTGTCGCTGATGAGGCTGCTTTGGGAAACGGACGGCGGAGATGGCGGAGGATCGGCGGAGGAGGAGGGTGGAGAGGTGGGGTGTGATTCCGTGTGCTGCGTGTGCATGGGGAGGAAGAAGGGCGCGGCGTTCATACCGTGTGGGCACACGTTTTGCAGGGTGTGTACGAGGGAGCTGTGGCTGAACAGAAGGGCGTGTCCCATTTGCAACCGTCTGATCCTGGAGATTCTTGACATATACTGATAGTTGATGAACGGTCGAGAGGAGATCCTGATGTCCGCAGAAGGGAAAAAGAAAAAAAACGTCACATTTGAATCATATTTTTGTTCAACTGAAAGTGATTTTTTCACCATGTAAAAGTTTAAATTCCTATTTGATCATACAAACATACAATCTTATTCCACAGTTCCTTGCAATAAGTGATAAATATTCGGATCTCCATTCATTATAATTACAAATTTACAGTGCCTTGTCAAACGTGGTTTTTTTTTTCTTTTTTCCTGAAACAGAAAACAACTTTTAGAGACCAATTTAATTACTCTACTGAGTTTTAAAAAATGTATCAAAAATTTAATATGATTTAAATTTGTTAAAAAATAACAAATAATAATTATAACATGATAAAAATTCGTTTAATATAAATAACTTTATATTTCATGTAAATAAATTTTAATTATTATAATAAAAATTAAAATATTTTATGTTAACAAAAATCAAATTTTTGAAAGCACTCTTAAAAAAAGGATAGTCATAAGATTTCAAATATTATTAATTTTAAATTATAAAATAGATGAAAATATATGTAAGTATCTAAAAAAATTAAATATAAATTAAAATATGAATAAGACGTGTAAATATAAATTATAACCACTATTCAATGATTTTTTCAAAGAAAAAAATTAAATAAATATTTTTTATTATATTAAAGATCTAAACCTAAGATAAAGAAAAATGAGAACCAGGGTCAAATTCATCACTTCTACAAAATTGTTACAAGTGTTATACCCGTTTATCTTTTTGTTCTTTTTTTTTTTTATTTTCTTTCTGTTTTGGGCGGGCGGGGCGGGGCGTTTGGTTACAAAGGCCATGGTGGGGGAATGTAAAGTCATGGGCCTCCGGTCCATGCGATTAATTTACGAAGCCCACAGTTGGGGAAAGAGGGAGATTCACATTATCTTTGTACTTTGGGGTTATAGGCTGGTATTAGGTGACTTCATTTTGGGCCAAATCCAACTCGTATCCCAATGTCACTTTTTAATAGAATTAATAACGGATCAAATTTACATCAAATCAAATATATATCCAAATTTAAATCAAAATAATTGTTACTATATTTAAATCTAATTTAAAATTTTATCAAATTTATATTTATTAAACTATATCCGAATCTAATAAATAATCCGAAATTCGATAAAAAAATCCAATTTAACAAAAAAATAGTCTCTTTTTACATTTAAGTTGTTAAATTCTATTTTATTAATTATATTAGTCTTTGAAATTTTTGATTTTCTTAATTTAGTCTCTGCAACTTTAAATTTATTAATGTCATATATATAAGATTATTAATTAAATTGTAAAATATTATTAAAATTTGAACTCTGATCCTTAACAGATCATATTATTTTATCCCATATCTGACCTATTTTTTTTTGAATTACAGATATTTATTATCAAATCTAACTATCAAATATTTTAATCAAATTCGAATCCTAAATTTCAGATCGAATTTAAATCAAATTTAAATTAAAAATTAACACATTAACAGCCTTTCCTTAACAAAAACTTCCCACCCAATGATATAAGTTATAACCTCATTTCTTTCTCTAAAAAATTAAAAAATACAAACATACTAATTCTGAACCTGGATTTAGTACGGGCCGTCACAGTGGGCCTTGTTTCAACTACCCTCGGCCCAATGTAAATAATGCAAGGAGTCCAATTTATATCCACTCACTTTGTTTATATATGAAATACTAGAAAGAGAATAGATATGTAAGGATGAGTCGTCTAATAAGAGTAGAAACATCTTCGATTTTAGCCTAACCAAATGAAAGGATTCATGTGAAATGTGAATGATTTTTTAAAAAAAAAAATTAGTTGGCAAAGCAAAGTGCTCGACTGATAACCTTGATAAAATTCGGGTTCTAAGTGAGAGAAGTTCTCTTTAATCTTCTTTAGCATCCTAATTTCATGAAGTAAACTTCTATCTAACATCGCTCGGGGACTAAAACATTTTTTCTCCTTTTAGATTTAGTTGACGTAATATTAAGTAATAAATGAAAGTCGTAGTAGTTTTAAGACTAGTAATTATCTTGTGGCTAAAGAACACAATCCCATGTATCTATACATATATAATTTCTATAGATACCACAAACTCTTAAAATAACAATGCATAAGAAAATGTTTGGAATTAATTTTTTAAAATTCCAAACTTTTTATGATAATATAAAAAAGCTGAGTTTTTTTAGTTTAAATTGTGTAAAAAAATATTGACTTCCTTGTAAAAAGAATCCAAAATTTTGAATTTCTTTGATAAGTTAACTATAAGTCAGGTGGTATTTTGAAATAACTTTACAAAACTAGGAGTGGGAATTTAATGTAGAAATTGGCATAAATAAATTAGAAATAAAAATTGGATATGTTTATACAACATGTTAAAAAGTGAAAAAATAGTAAAATAAGTATTTGTGATACAACTTGTATAATTTTAGATTGTGATTTTTAAAAAATCTAAAAAATTATTTTTTTGATTGTTTTTCCAAGGAAAAATAGGGGTAAATTTAGATTTAAGAAAAATTATGATGGTAAAAATGTCCAAAAAACAGTTTTTATAGCACCACCTTGCTTATAAAATGTTATGACCAAAATTTTTGTTAAAATTTGATTTTTGGTGAATTATTTGGGATTAGGGTTTTAGGTGCTTAAATTAAAAGTAAACAGGGTCAAATTAAAATGGGGGGGGGGGGTGTCATGACCCAAAACCGGGCCCGTGACCGGTACCAGAGTCCCCGACCCCAATCAGCCTCACAACTATATAACCATACTTAGAAATCAAACAATTCATATATATACATATCATACAGTTCAAAATACAAACAGAATCCTATCTAAATAGTATAAGGAGTTCTAGAGTACAAAAATAGATAAACAAAAAAACTCGCATGTACATTGATCGACTCATGAAGCGTAACTTTGAACGCTGCTATCTGGAAGATGAACGGTCAAGTCGATCTGAAAGGATAATAAAATGTGAGTCGTGAAACTCAATGAGTGAGGATGATACCTAAGCTATGCATGATGAGATATGTAACACATAACTAAACCAAAACATACACATACATACATATGCAATAAGCAGTACCAATGTCAAACAACATATGGGAGTACAATAAATCTCACCACAAGACTCCAACCCCATGGTTCTCATAATCGGAGGCATCCTTCATCTCATGATCAAAGACATTACAAATACATCAAATGGCTATCTCCCAATCGAAGGAATCCTTCGTCTCATGATCGGGCTTAACTCAATCACATATCATGCTCCCGGCAGAGGCATCCTCCATCTCAAGCTGGAGCAACATAGCCTCATCACATAGCATGACTCCCTATTGTGCTTATACTGGTAAGTCTGCAATCAAAACCACATAAACCATCACCATTGTCAGAATCAGCACAAGAAACGAGCTCGATAGCCTCAAACTGGGCTCAAATCCCAACTCGACACCCTAGCACGTATCTCTAGACACCACTACCTATCACAGGACCCACGCAACTCACTAACACTCAACAATTTCACTTAACAACCCTCAACAATAATGAACCAGCCTCCACAATTCTCAAACCATAGTGAACTAGCCTCCAAAACCCTCGAACTGGCCTAACTTGGCCTAAATCCACCTCAAACTCAACTAGATCGGCCACGAAACTCTTAAGAACGGATTTAGAAGGTTCTAAAACCCTAAGAACTGGTCCAATATTAAGAATTCAGTCCAAAAAGACCACTGAAGTAGTCGGTCAAACACTCTAGCTAGTTCAGTCAACGGTCTACCTTTTTTTTTATTGACTCAGCTCGTGGCTCAGGCCTAGCCCAATTGGGCTAGCCCAAGCCCAAACCCTTTTTTTTTTTCACTGGGCTGAGTTGACTCAGTGAGTCAATTCAACCCAACTGTTGTCTAGGTCGGCCCGCAGCTCAAGCCCACAAGCCTGTGATGCATCTGGGCTGAGTTTAGGCCCAGACCTGCCCTGCACAAGACCCGAACCCATCCAGGTCCCTTCTCCTTCACCCGCTGACATAGACTTGGTTGACTAATCGAGTCTGTAACAAACCCGTCGCAAAACTGAAGAGAAAAAAATGAAAAAAAAAATCACAAAAACTCAACTTACCTCGACCGATGAGTACCAAGGCTTGTAGATTTGAACCCAGCGAGCCTCCTCATAGCTTTTAATAAGCTCAATCACTCAAAATAACTCAAAAATCCCAAAAAATCTCCAATTCTGTAGCAAACAGCACTTCGACCCAAGAACTCCTCAATCCCCCTCAACCTCACTCGGTTTCTTGAAATTTGGATAGGGCTTTGGTTCGTCCCTCTAAAACGCACACAAAGGTGCGAAAGGTCCACCCAAATCATTGCACATTGTGGCGAAACGGTGAGAATCATCATTCAGGTACTATTCATGTCAGATTTTTTGTCAAATTTCGATTTAGTCCCTTAAGCTTTGGTTCCTTTCAAACTGGTCCCTAAAGAATTTTCAATTCGGCCCACTACATTTTAATTTTTCTCATTTTCGTCCCTAAATTTAAAACTTTGCGAATTCAAGTCATTACAAGGTTAAATTGCAAGAAATCAAAGTTTGTAGGGTCTGACTTAGACAGAATAGAAATTCTGTCAAAACAGTGCCCAAATCACTGTGTCCTCTTTACCATGACAATTAGGAGTTGTTGGCTTGATTAAATTGAGCATTTAAGCTCATTTTCTTCCACCAAATAAATGCCCTCAACAAATTTTGTGTTTCGGGTGAAACTAAGAGAGAATCGAGCCATTTTTGGGTTGGCCAGGCCATTCGTGACCAAGCTGAAATTTTTGAAGATTTGAGCTAATTTGGTTGATTTTAAATCGATTAAAAAGCCTCTTGAGGCTCGTTTGAATCATTCTTACAAGTTTTAGCCTTCGATTGTTTCAGGCATGGGACTTAAATCATTTTTTTTTTCAAGTTTTTTTGTGCTCCGGGT